GGAAAGAGTGGTGGTGAAAGACCCTTTGTCCAGGGTTGGACACACACGCACACAGATTGGTTCCTTCAAGGCACCCACTCGGTTCATGTCTCCAGCGCTCCTGTTCTTTGTTCCGCGGTCGGACTGAACTCGGTGTTCTGGGACAGAGTGCCCTAGGACTGTGCCAGAAGCCTGCCCTTCGAACGCTTCCATGACCTCAAGGCAGGTGGAGCATGGGGCTGGCGTTTGTCATGTAGTCATGTAGACTGTTGATTAATAAACGCCCCATACGGAGATGTAGAGCCATTCCGGCAGGGGGTTTTATCAATCAAGAGCCTACATTTTTCAAAAGAGGATCCAGCAGCAACTAGGATCACCAACTAGGATAATATATATATATATATAAGTTCTTGTAGACCCGGCCTCTGGGAAGTTTTCGTGGCCACGGCGTAGGCGGCCATCTCAATGCCCTTAACACATCCTGTCAAACAAGACGGAAAAAGCGAGTCAAAGGCTGGTCAAAGGACATTAAGACCCCAAACTGGTGGGTTTTGATGTCGGTCTTGGAGCATCCGGTCTACTCATGAGTTGGGGGAAGAGTCGGAGAAGTCGTGAAGCAGTGAACTGACCCTGCCACCGCTGGAAGCCAAGCGATTCTTGCAAGACTCGGTCGTCCGGATCGAGCTTTCATCGGATTAAGTAGGTTTTGGTTTGGGCATGAGTCAGACAAACTGTTCAGATCGCCAGAGCTGCTTGACTAGTCTGACTGGTAATTCTTGCACAAAAAAGCAGCCAGTGAATAAACCCCAGCTTTGCCTAGCTGATCAGTGAAGCTGCAGGTTGCGGTTGGGATTGCGCGCGAGGTGGCGGGGGACCAAGACGAGATCGCCAATGTTTGAGCTACAGCCTGACACATTCCATCGAAGTATCGTCCAAGATGTCATCCACCTTCGATGTATTCGTCAGATTTTGTCAGAGTGGCAAAGGCTTGAACTGCATGGGCGCCAAGCACTGTGCACACCCCTGCAGGGTCAAATGCAGTCGGCGACACGAGGCAGCTTAGAACATCTGATGGTATTAGTGCAGGTTTGTTTATCAGCAATAGAAAGTACCTTGACGGCCGCCCTTCCCTTTCTCCTGGACTCCTTGCTGGGAGTGGGGGGATATAGTAGGTGATCTCATCTCTGAATCTCAAGGATGATCGATTTGGATTGTCTACGATGGTCCCAGACAACACGATGGCCTCCCACTCAAACCTCCGGCATCTCATTTGACCTCCGATCTGAAGAAAGCCTCACCAGCATGGCGCCATGTCCGTCCGATCTTCAGACCCTCCGACAGCTGGCAACTCGCTTGGGAGATGCCAAGAATGAGCTACAGCCTTCCACCAAGAGACTCGGTCCACAGGTCAGAGTAATTAGTTCCCCGTAGAAAAAGCAGTTCAAAGAACAATAGTTGAGTGGGGAGGTGGTTCCCCAGTCGTCCAAAAACATTGCCTTATGCATCCTTATGCTTTTTTTGCCCGCACGCCTCTGGGCTTTTTTTGCCCACCGGCACCGGATGGCGCTCAGGAGAGCCGCGGTGGCACTGATCTTCCGCGTCCGCGCGGCGGGAGGTTCCGGGGCGGCGCCCCTCAACGTGGAAGAGCTGCTGAAGGGCAAAGCGGAGGACGAGTCTCTGGCGGTTCCATGCTGAATCTCAGAAAGTGGTCATGAAACGGTTCCTGGGGGTTCCCCGAATTCATCTAGGGAAACCTATGGGGGGGCCATACGCCCTGCAAGTCCACCCCAACCCCAACACATCCGCCGGCTCTGTGGGCTTTGCTGCACTGCGAGGGGTCCTTACCAAGAAGGGCTTCAGAAGTGTCGAGTTGCCTGACTTGCTTGTGATTTGAACAGATGGGCATGACGCAAGTGCTGGCACTTGAACCATGGCCGAGACCGGCCTCACTTGAGCAACAAAAAGTTGGTGGAGCAGTGGAGCGCAGGTCAAGGGGCATTTGTTCAAGATTGTCTATTTATAGTGTTTTATATTGTATCTATATATATAAGTGTCTTCAACTTTGTCCTGTATGGACACCTTCTCAGAGCATTTGTGGTCTTTATGGTTACCCTAAATTACTGTGCTTCAGTGGTTTCCTCAACTATGGACTAAGGTTGAGCTCCTCTACATCTTGCGCACCTCGCGTGTGGGTGACAAGTGGTCCGGCCACGTCGCCTTCCCCGGTGGCAAGCGCGAGGCCGACGACCCCGATGATCGCGCAGCCGCGGCCCGGGAGACGGCGGAAGAGATTGGATGCTGGGCGGGTTGTGAAGGCGAGGTTGCACGGTTTGTTTGTGATTTAAGCACACTGAGAGAACACCTCAAATAGGTTGTTTCATGTTGCGCCACCCGTTGGGCTGTTTGGCTGTTCAGAGGTTTCCATTTACAACCCCATTTGGTGCTGGTGGATTGTAAGAAGTGAGACGTATGAAATGCGTGCGGTGTAGCGAGGAAGCTTGAAATGTGTCATTTTGGTCAGCTAGAGTTAAGACGGAATCTCCGTGAGGCTTAGACCCTTTTGAAATGCGAAGCGAGCTCGAACCCGCTCAGTTTCCGGTGGATTCCGCATTTGGATTCCAATCGACCATGGTGAAGGCCCAATCTAATACCGCTGGTCAACTATAAAAAGGTAGATCCACCCGACACGTGCCCACCAAGACTTGCCAGCACCCAGGTTCTATTTTCCTGACCCAGTAAATTTGATTCATACAAGATACATGCATGTATCATCATGTATCTAAACACTACACATTGGTGACCTCCGACTTCAGGTTACATTAAAATCACTCGCCGGGGTCCATTTTGGCAAGTGAGGTTTCACGTTTCGAGACATTTTTTGTTCCATCACTCCGAAATTTTGGGGCCGATTCGACCGGATCGGCCGGCCCCCAAATCCCGCAAATGGATGTCCGACTGCACCGGTTCAGAAATTGAGATGTCCGTTTGCCAAGCCTTTGGTGTTTGAAAGCTTTGTTGGGGTGACATGCTTCTGGGCAGGGAATCCCAGGAGTCGAAAAAATCCGTTCAGGGAGTGGTGTCGAAGGTTTTCTTTGTGGCCAAGGACTGAACTTGGAGAGCGATGACTTCTTGTTTCTGGGGCAATTGGACGACCGCGTGGTCACTGGAGGAGGCCGAATCATCCCAGGCCCGGGCGCGGGCCGAAGGCGTCCTCGTGGATTTGGGGTCGCTGATGATCATGACACATGTTTCACCCAGCAAGATACATGGAAGTAGATAGAAATGAACTCATTCCATGAGAATGTTTCAAGCTATGTAATATATACTGTAGAACAATATATTCCACTTCGTTTGACTTCCATGGTTTGTTGGAAGGAGGGTACTCTCAAAATATATTGTAACTGGGTGGCCATGCTTGCCATGCTTCTTGAGATAGAAAGTAAAATCAATAGTTGCTCCCTGTGTATGGCATAGGACTGGAAGATGGAAGTGGGCATGACCTGAAAGACTATTCTGACAACAGGAGCAACAGGAGGTTTCCACGTTCGTGTTTGTTGGAACGTATCTCCAGTCCCCAACTACCTCTTAGGATTCGACTTAATTAATATTAATAGCCTGAATCGCGAACAAGCATTGTTTTACTAAGGATTTTACTATTCCACTACGAAACCATGTTAACCATTTTAAGATGGTCTTTGAAGGCTAACACTAAGGTGAGTCTTCGCATCTTCGAAAGCACCGCTCCAGGCTTCTTCCTGGCCCCACTGGTTTGGCTCCAGCGGAGCGAAGTGACACCGGCCATCACTATGCAAGCCTCGGAAGTGGCTGCTTGGCGCTGGGTGCCTCTGAAAGCTCTATCTCCAGAAGAGGTGAAGTTTGATGTCCCTCTTCAGACTCTCGCCAACAAAGGGGTGGATTGTTAAGAGATATATCATAATACATCAGAATACAGTATATATAATATCATATATTATATACATGCAACTTTCTGGGTGATTGATTTTGCAATTTGTATTCCAAATCTTTGTTCTTCTTTGTGAATTCTCCAGATACAAGGGATTTGCTCAGTGTGATGCTCCTCTTCCGGTGAAAAGCGGGAGGACGGGGCCATTCTCAAGTGCCTGAACCACATCCCGCTCCAAACAGGGTTGACTGGTCCTCGACACGAAGCCAGTCCACACGGTCAGCAGTCTGACCTACTGTAGGTTCTGGTCCGTCCTGAAAGACTCAGTAAGAGTAATTAGTGTTTGTGTTGTATAAGGAATGGCCTCCACCCTAGTAGCGATGGCCTCCACCCTAGTAGCAATGGCCTCCAACCTAGTAAGAGTAATGTTTGTATATTATATAACCAAGTCCATCCAAGTCCAGTAATCATAGGCTCTAGGGGCGTCAAGATCCTATCGCATGAGACTGCGGTTTCGCAAAGTAATGCCTTTCAGGATCAGTGGACATTTAGCCTCTATGCTGGTGCCATTTCCTTGCCTTCCTGCCCTAACACTGGTGAATATGCCTTCGATCGACCTACAGGCAGGCCGATGCTGTGTGGACATGTGCTTGTTTTGGCATCATATCCGCCAGAGCTAGCTTTACTTTGACCCCAAATCCATAGTTTCACGACTCAAGAGCTCTCTCTCTCCTGGCCAGTCACTCCCTATGGCCTCCAACGGCCAATCACCCCGCGCTGCCTGACATCCCTTTTGTATGAGGCTCGTCGGAGCCCAAACGGGGGCTACTGTATAGAATCCCTCCAAGTAGCCAGTACAACCATTTGACAAGTCTGCTTTTGACACGTCAAAAGGATCTCCAACGATTCGTGGCACTGCCAGGCGCTGGAGCCACTGGAGGCCTCAACCAGTGATCCTCATGTGCTCTTCAGACTTTGGGGCTTGACGCTGCGTGCGACCTCGGATGCTTGGGCTGTGGAGGCTGTGGAGGCTGTGGGAGGCTGAGCTGCCATGTCTTTGTGTTGAGAAGACTGCCGTGTGCGAGCTGAGGTCTATTGCTTCTTTTGGGGGGGGACCTGCTAGGTCCTTCTTCGGGGAGTGTAAGTGGGACCCCAAGTATGCTAGTCTAAAAGGTTATTCGTCATAGTATAGCAGGTAGATAGCCGTTGACACGAAACAGCAGGATGATGTGAACAGAGAACACCCTGCAGGTCCGAGCGTGCGCGTGCGACATATGGCATTTGCGATATTCTCCTTCGAACGAACACCATGATAAGTAGTGAGTGACGATGATTGACGCAGTTGACCCTCCCACAAGACGTAGTGTCCGTGGTGTGAACATGGGTGTTTCTTTGAGGCACTGTTCTATTCCCCAAATAGAGTGCGAATTGGCTATGATCACCCTCTTGTGCCACACTTCTACAAGGAGTACCTATATGTACAGGAACTATATTGAATCTTTATATGTAGTTGTATTCATCTAATGTACCAGGGTGAACATCACCATGACAACTTGATAGGCATGTCTTTTCGCTTGACAGGATGAGGTGAACACCACGCGCACCTCGCGCATGCCTCAGGATGCTTTGGTCCTGGGCGCCGGCATTGATCGAGAACTGCCCTGGCCGCCGCTGCAGTTTCGCTTCCGGGTGGCTAACCTCCTGCTGGCTGCGTGCTGTAGCACACAGGCGAGTTCAGCGGTAGGCAGGTGCCATGCGGGCTACCGTGAAGGTATGTAAATAGGTAGAGTTTGGGCTCCTCAAAGTCATTGACGGCTTGGTTTGCCATGGGTGCTTCATGGTGCTTCCATGGGCAACCCCGAATAAGCTGAACATGTTTGTTTGTTGAACAAGATTTATCATCGGTGGCAAGGTGATGTCACCGCTGATCAATCACTCATCATAACTAGCTGCTAGCCTCCAACTGACTTTGTAACATGTGAAGATGGATAGGATCGCGGTAATTTGTGTGTGTGAAACCCTTGGAGTCATAGGGCTTCTTGTCGCCTGGTCAACGAAGCTGGCAATGTACCTGAGGATATGAAAGTGGGACGCCACTTTCACGTACCTGCTGAGTTGTGGTGTTTGCAAGCTGTCACTCCACTTTTCACTAAAGGGCTAACGCATTTGCAGACTTGAGCGCTCGTCGTCAACTTGTCGGTCGCGCATGCCGGAGCTGGATTTTTTGTTTTCGAAATATATTGAAGACTTTTGGCCTCCTTCCTTTCCACAAGACCTCCAGGACGTTTAGAACCCCGTGCACGCTTTCTCAGGAATATGGGTACCTAGGTTGGCGAGTGGCAGACGGCCATCGAATCAGTACGCAATATCTTGAGTGTGTCTGGCTTCATGCCAGCCCAGGGTGTACCCGAGGAGTGTCCCCTGTGGCCCCGTCGAACGGGGGTTTGTCTACCGTATCCCCTGCCCGGATACGGAGCAGTCCGCAGCAGACGAAACAGGCTTGTGCCAAAGTTATGAAAGACTTGATGATTTATTGAATGCAAGTGGGCAGCCTTCGGGCACGCCATGAGGTGACCGCAGAGGTCAAGAGTAGGCAGCCTTCGGGCACGCCATAACGTGGTCGCAGCGACCGAAGCATCTTCAAGGTCCATTGGAACCTGTTGGAACCTTAGGCGCACATACATTGTGTACAATGTAAAAGAGCCCAGGTCTCCCTAGGTTTTCTCAATGAGGTTTGGTTTCGTTGGTTTTCTTTGGTTTCCCTTTTCATCCTGTCCCCTTCACGCACACGCTTTCTTTCCTTCTTTTCTTTCATGTCTCCCTGTCTTCATGTCTTGGCACCTCATCCTTTCTGTCCCTTGCGCGCACAATTGGTCCGGCCTTTAGTGTGTGTGTGTGCGCACTCACCCTTTGTCACCCAGGTCTCAGGTCGCCCAGGTTCTTACAAGGAGGTTGGGTTCATCGTTTGTCCCTGGTCACTTGGTTCCGCATCATAGCAACCACACGCACACACACATCACGAAAGCTAGCATGCTGGCTGAGTTCTTCTTTGCTTTAGCAAGTGGTAGTGGAATGAGCTGCGTGCCTTAAAGCTTGATATATCACACTAAGGGGGGGGGGGCGTGGCCCCCCACTCTAGCGTGATATATCACGCTAAGGACCCCCCCCCCCGCGGTTCAACTCCCAGCTGCAGGCGTTTTGGCATTAGTGGGGGTGGTGTTACATGTTGGAAATCGTTGGTGTTTTGCTTGGTATTTTGAAAACCAGGATGTCAAAGACATCATGCACTTGAATTTTGGATGATCCTGGATAGCGGAAACACATGTAGTTACAGGAGAATCAAGATGACACTCATGGGATTTTGCCTAAGTTTTTGCAAAACTTTTTCATTGCGAGCTTATCGTGGCCCGCTGTTCTCGATCAGCCAGCCAGCCGGCCAGCCGGCCGGCCGGCCAAGAACCACGGTCCAGCTGGCCGGCCGGCCGGCTGATCAACGACTGTCGGCTACTACTACTACTACTACTACTACTACTATTACACTACCACTACCACTACCACTACCATTACCACTACGACTACTACTACTACTACTACTTCTACTACTACTACTACTACCACTACCACTACCACTACCGCTACTACTACTACTACTACTACTACTACTACTACTACTACTACTACTACTACTACTACTACTACTTACTACTTGCTACTTGCTACTTGCTACTTGCTACTTGCTACTTGCTACT